GCCGGGAGTCAGAGCCATTCCCTGTACACCTTGGGCTGTGACAGGGATGTCCTCTGGCTCCCACATTATTTAACATCTATTTTGACCACGTAGTTCGTGAAGCCTTCAATAGCTGTACCGGAGCAATCTCCATATGGTACAGATATAATGGGAGGCTGATCAATGCCCGGGTGCGGTCAAAAGATGGCTCCCTATTGCTGAACCACTTTATGTATGCCGATGATTTGTTAATAGCTGCTCATTCAGAGGAGGAGTTGGAGACGCTGCTGCTGAGACTGGAGCGTGCTACTAAGAGATGGGGTCTTAGCATCAGCCCCACCAAAACTAAGCACCTGCCTGGGTATTTTGTACCATCGGACACTGCACCCCCACAACTCCCAATCGGTGATGGGGCAGTGGTGGAGAAAGTGGAGAGTTTCCCATACTTGGACAGTGTGCTTATGACCGGCTCCAGTTTAACAGCAGAGGTCTCACTCCGAATCAGTCGAGCGGCAATATCTTTTCATCGGTTGGGTAATGCCGTGTGGAAGCTACCTGGTCTGTCGCTCCGCACTAAGCTTCAGGTCTTCTCGGCCACGGTCATTCCCTCCCTTCTCTATGCTTGCAAAACGTGGACCCCCCTAATGGAACATCTTCGCCGGTTAGAAACATTAAGGCTAGCCTGCCTACGATCCATCGTGGGTTTAACCAGGCTGGATTGTGTGAGGAGCTCACAAATCCTTGAAAGATCTGGGCACGGTCCCATCGGTGAGCTCCTCCGGCAGGCAAGGCTGCGTTGGCTGGGTCATGTAGCCCGCATCCCCAGCCACCGCATGCCGAAACAACTTTTGTTCGGCCGGATCGAGGGGGCTAAACGGGCGCGGCACGGGCTAGAGAAGAGATGGAGTGATGTGGTACAGGGGGACGTGGAGCTGAGTGGACTTGCCGATGACTGGTACCAGCGGTGTCAACATCGGCCTCTGTGGAGGAGGCTCGTGAAGGATGCTACTGGGCAGTTGGAGGCAGTCGCCTTCCAACAACAACGGAGGGCGGAGGAGCGACGCTCACAACAACGAGCGGAGCGCCGGGTGGCTAAAGCACAGCAGGTTGGCACAGTAGGGGGCACAGGTGGTGCATCATCCAGTCATCTCAGTCATCTTAGTCAGTCGACCCGTGGCACTTGGGTCTGCCCCGTGACCTCCTGTCAGCGGGCGTTCGACACTTCACGTGGCCTCAAGGTGCGCATGGCCTGGCACAAGCGTCGTGGTGACATCACCGCCACTTAGTGGCGAATCGCGGTTGTTGTTGTCTACGTGTGTGTGTCTGTGTGGGCACGTGTGTGTGTGTAAGAGTATGTGTCTACGTGTGTGTATGTCTGTGTCGGCGCGTGTGTGTGTGTGTAAGAGTACGTGTCTTCGTGTGTGTGTCTGTGTGGGCGCGTGTGTGTGTGTACGAGTATGTGTCTACGTGTATGTGTGTGTGTCTGTGTGGGCGTGTGTGTGTGTGGAAGTGTGTGGAAGTTGTGTGCGTTTGTGCATGTATTTGGTAGTGCAGCGGTGAGCGCGCTGCGCTACGAACCTGTCTAACCGAGTTCGATTCCCGCTCACGGCCAACACCAGTGACGATTATCTGAACCGGGTCTGGGCCTCCCCTAGGTTGACTCAGCCTCAAATGAATGCTTGGGACGGTGCGTAAATATCAGCGCTGGGGAGACAAAGGTGGCTGAACCTCGACGTGCGCAGTGCAGACTCTGATTGGTGCTTGTCAATAGGACTTGCCCCAACACTCTATAAAGGCTCCACAGGTGATCTTTGTCTTTGTGTAACAAAATAAATAAGCATACAATGTCTCAATAAGACAATGTCGCAATGTCTGCTTATTGACCAGAAATCATGACTGACCCTGCTGATGAGACGCTGCGTGTCGAAACTGATCCAAGGTTGTGACTTGTCTTGAATGACTGCCGCAGAAATGATGCCCTCGCAGAAAGTGGAAGTGGCCGTGCTACCGATGGAATTTGTAAATAAATAATTAGATTGTGTTTTATTTTGGTTTTCACGTAGAGCCCATTTCGTAAGCTAGAAACTATAGAAATGATTCCTGAAAGACACATCTGGTTACGTATTCTGTTGTCTTCTCTGTCTCTGTCGCTCTCGTTCACTCTGCGTGTGACTTGAGTCACGGCGAGATTCCGATTCGCGAATTCCGTCTTAAATGTCGCAACTCGCTGCCACTCCAACGGCAGGGATCTCGCGGGTCAACTCCGCGCCGAGCTCTCTGATTGGCGAGTTGCACCGCGGGCTGACTGCCCTCCAGCCAGACAGCAAAACTCGTCTTTGTTTTTTTCTCACGGAGTCGTGACACTGAGTGCTTTTACAGATAGCAGCGTCATTCATGCAAATTTGCATCACACAACGCGCGGAGGCTCGCACAAGTTGAAGATGTGCTCGGCCAATTCATGGTGAGCGTTCTTGACACGTGTGGCAAGAAACCGGAGCAGGCTGAGAATCCCCATGAGTGCTAGGGGGCAACGCTCTGTCCCCGTACAGATGGAAACCGATAGAAATGAGTCCATGCTTTCTGTATCGCCTTCTCCTGGTGAGCCAGGGTACGGCTCCTCCTTGAGCTGCACCCACGGGAAGGGGTTTTTACAGAATCATCTCTGTGTGGTCCACCAACCCTCTCAAGAAGCTCCCAGTTCTGAAGAAGCTACCGGACAATCCACATTACAACCCGAGAGATGGAACGTGATTGCAAATGTCTTAAGAACTACTGAGAAGTTGATTTCACGCTCACGTTGGGGCAGCTGCTCTGTTCGCGTCATGGTTGTGTTGATAATTAGGCTTCCGTGTGGCTCGAAATATTAATACACGGATGATTACGTCAACTCTGTAGTCAGTTCTCCAATACATCCCCATCTATTATCGACATACGCGTTCCACTCCCTCCCTCCTTCTATGGGTCCGATGACAGCCTATAGATTTCATTTAAAGGTTTTGGGTCATACTGTTAATCAATAGATCCAATGCATTTTATGGGTCATATGTAAGTCCATGTAAGTATACGCACCATATGCAAGTGTATGTTTTTTTTTTAATGTTATTTGTATGTCTATGGGTCCTGTGTAAATCTATGGGAATGTGTATGTCTATAGGTCCTGTGGAAGTCGTTGGTTCCAATATAAGTTTCTGTTAAATCTCCCTGTCCTCCTCCTTGCATCATCATCCCAGCCGAGGCAACCTGCGAACCGGGCAAACTGAGAGTTGTTGCGCTAAACAGGAAACAAGAAAAATAACGGTGACAGTACTGATGCATTTATTCGATCATTAATTGCAGGGACCCCCCAACTCCAGCCCTCGCGACCCACTCTGCTTCGTCTTTCCACGTTTAACGAATTTACCCCCCCCCCCCACCCCCTCTTCCTATTCAAATACAAGTTAACTCGTTCCACGCTGCACGCGCCCGATGATTGTTAAACACGTCCCACGTGACGTGCTAAGCAATTCACGCTATTTGCGTCACGTGTATGCTCACGTGCGCCATGCATATACACACATACACACGCTGAGCACGTGTACATGTAGACGCGGAACACGTGTACATATACATGACGCGGACAGCGTTCATTTCTGACCGCGTTAAACGGGACGTGTTTAACAATCATCGGGCGTGTGCAGCGCGGAACGAAAGGGGGGTGGTGGAGGATTAAATTGGTAAATGCGGAAAGACAGAGCGTGGTAGTATTGGTGATGGTAGTGGTGGTGATGGTAGTGGTGGTAATTGCAGTGGTGGTGATTGCAGTGGTGGTGATTGCAATGGTGGTGATGGTGGTGATGGTGGTGATTGTAGTGGTGGTGATTGTAGTGGTGGTGATTGTAGTGGTGGTGATTGCAGTGGTGGTGATTGTAGTGGTGGTGATTGTAGTGGTGGTGATGGTAGTGGTGGTGATTGTAGTGGTGGTGATTGCAGTGGTGGTGATGGTAGTGGTGGTGATGGTGGTGATTGTAGTGGTGGTGATTGTAGTGGTGGTGATGGTAGTGGTGGTGATTGTAGTGGTGGTGATTGCAGTGGGGGTGATTGCAGTGGTGGTGATTGCAGTGGTGGTGATGGTGGTGATTGTAGTGGTGGTGATGGTAGTGGTGGTGATTGTAGTGGTGGTGATGGTAGTGGTGGTGATTGGAGTGGTGGTGATGGTAGTGGTGGTGATGGTGGTGATTATAGTGGTGGTGATTGTAGTGATGGTAGTGGTGGTAATTGTAGTGGTGGTGATGGTAGTGGTGGTGATGGCAGTGGTGGTGATTGCAGTGGTGGTGATGGCAGTGGTGGTGATTGCAGTGGTGGTGATTGTAGTGGTGGTGATGGTGGTGATGGTAGTGGTGGTGATGGTAGTGGTGGTGATGGTAGCGGTGGTGATGGCGGTGGGCCGCGAGGATTGGAGTTGGGGTAACTCGGCTTTCGTGTCAACAGCAGGCGTCGTGCGCTGACGCTGCCGTGCGTCTTAGATGAGGTCGCGAGCGGGGTGCTGCTCGCGGTCGAAGCAGCTGCGAGGCGAGCGGGAGGTACCCCGCGGATGAGGCTGGCCAGCCCTCGGTGTCCGTGCGTCGAGGCGACGCGGGGGCGATGCGCGCCTCTTTGCGCCGAGCGGCGGTCACGGTGGCTACGCTGCTGCAACGTGGCGGCCTGGACTCCGGCAATGTGGAAGGCAGCTGCTAGGGTTGGTGGGTCACGCACAGCTGTTGTGTGAAACTTCCTTCTTCCCGTGGGCGCGGAGGAGGTGCCGTACCCCCCCTAACTCGCCCACGTGTCCCGTCTCTACGGGGATGGAGTGTTTCCCCCGTTACAAGACGAGTGTATGCAAACGTGCTCATCTGGCGTCTCGGCATCGCTGCTTCATGTCCATCCAACTACCACCCCCCCCCCCACACACACAGCTCCCCTCTGCCCCCATTTTTAACCAAAACACTCCCCCCCCCTCTCTCTTTCCACACTCCACCTCCCTCCCACCCCTGCGTGCCCTGCAGCTAGGCGGTCCCGGCGGCACGGAGCAGCATGCCCGACTCCCCGGCGGAGGTGAGGACGCCGAGCCGAGGCAGCCTCACGCCGCCCGCAATGCCCCCACCGGGAACCCAGGGCAGCGCCCGGGCCGCCACCTTCACCCCCACGGCCAGTACGGGTCACCCACACACAGACGCACACACACACACATATACGTATAAAGACAAAGAACTCCTGTATAGCCTTTAACAGACTGTTGGGGGCAAGTGCTGTTAGCGAGTAGCCCCTTTAATGCAGGCCGATAGCGCGTGTGTCTCGTGTGTACGTGCGCACACAACACGCACGCGTGTGTCTCGTGTGCACGTGCGCGCACAACACACACGCGTGCGTCTCGTGTGCACGTGCGCGCGCAAAACACGCGTGTGTGTCTTGTGTGCACGTGCACACAAGACACACACGTGTGCCTCGTGTGCACGTGCGCGCGCAACACACACACACGTGTGTCTTGCGTGCACACGTGCACACGTACGAACGTTTACGCGTAAGAATTGTTCTAACTTTACACACAAAACACCCAAAAGCAATGTACGCAAAAAATTGTTGCAATGATTTTATGCTGAAGGGAAAAGTACTCGTCATCGACAGTGCATACATTTCCTTTAAATAGGCGAACGCACGAAAACATTCTCACCAAGGTAATGATTCTCATACATAGTCGATGGCATTAATAACCGAGCCCTTTACGCATAACCCGCACGTTGATTTCCTTACGCGTTAACGCAGTTGCGTGCATGTTGTCTTTGAGCATTGGTACATAACCCCGTGTGCATTGTACACCGTATATACACATTGTACGCTGCGTATACATTGTACGCAGCATATACGTTGTACGCATGCAGGCGATGCTTCGGCTATAAATAACGCGATATTAACTTTTGATTCGAAATGTTTTCAATTCGTATTTTTCGTGCAAATTGCGCATTAAATGTGTCGCATAAAACGCTCGCGAAGCACGTAAATAACAAATTAAAATGTTAATGCATTAACGCCGCGAATGAATTTACTCATTAGGACGTGGATTAAGCGTACTCCATAAAACACAACGCATTTATTTAACCTGTAACCATTTCATTAATTGTAGCAAATAAGCAGTGCTCTCGTATATACCATATACACCATATACGAGTTTAATCCGTGCATTAATTGTTTATTCTCCCTCTCTGTCTCTCTGAGAGCCGTCTCCTCTCTCGAATGCATTGGCCTCCTTCCCTCCATGTAGCTCATATTTACTCAATTATTTGTTAGTGTATGGGGAATTTTAGTGTATGGGCAATGTTAATCTTTGAGCAATGTTAATCCATGAGAAATGTTAGTTTACAAACAGTGTTAGTCTATGGGTAATTAATAATAAAGGTTTTTTGGGTTAGATCGCGTTACTTATAAATGTGTCGTAACCCTCCACCACCCGACACGGCCAATCAGCAAAAAAAGTGTCACGTTGACAAAAGACAATTAATTCACTACTTTACCCTACCGGTGTGTTGAAAAGTGAATCCACAACATTTACAGTTTGAATACGACGTTTCGCTGGTAATTACATCCAGCATCAGCGGGCAATTCGACAGAATGCTAAACTCTATGGGTAAGGCTAGTCTACCGGCAATGTTAACATACGGACAGTGTTAGTCTATGATCAATATTAGTCTATGGGTATTGTTAGTTTATGGGCAATGATAGTCTATGGGCTGTGTTAGTTTATGGGCAGTGTTAGTCTATGGGCTGTGTTAGTTTATGGGCAGTGTTAGTCTATGGGCAGTGTTAGTCTATGGGCAGTGTTAGTCTATTGGCAGTGTTAGTCTATGGGCAGTGTTGAGTCTATGGGCAGTGTTAGCCTACGGGCAGTGTTAGTCTATGGGCAGTGTTAGTCCATGGGCAGTGTTAGTCCATGGGCAGTGTTGAGTCTATGGGCAGTGTTGAGTCTATGGGCAGTGTTGAGTCTATGGGCAGTGTTGAGTCTATGTGCAGTGTTAGTCTATGGCCAGTGTCAGTCTATGGGCAGTGTTGGTCAATCTCTCACTATGGTCCATGTCCTTTTCCAAAGACGTCGGCGATAGTCGCCCTCCCTCCGTGTAGATCGATTGACTTCGAGATCTTTCCATGCGACTACTCCCAGCTTCACCCGACGTACAAACCACTGATGCAACTCATGTCTCCGTCTCGTGGTTATTCCGCCTGTGGTTGTTCCAGGTCGACCGGTACTCTACATCCAACTGGTCACGCGTTTCACGTTGCATGCTAAAGTAACGCATGACCACTACGCGTGTACGTGCGTATGTTGAATTTCTTTCGCCACCGCACATGGCCAACGCTGCTAATCGCCGCGCATATATCCGAGGGTATTTGATGCGTCCCATTTTACGCGCGAGGACGGTGCGTTTACGCGATGCGCGGTCGTCACCTTTACGCGTATACACCTCATCCAGTTGTGCGGCAACAGTGCTATCAATATTAAACAAATATATATAATTCAAAATGTGTTTTTATTTTACCAGCTAAGGCCCACTAGGCCGTGTAGCTTTTTTTCCAGAAGCGACCCGGCAGCAAATGAGATAGCTCAGCGAAGTAGTGACGTATCGTGTGGACATTTATTGCAGCTAAATACTCTAAACGCGTGGTGATGTTTTATTCTAAACGTGGAAGGGGAAAACCGGAGGACCCGGAGAAAAATCCACGCGACTACGGGGAGAGAGAGAGACACGCAAACTCCAAATACACAGCAGGCGTCACGGGTCGGGATCGAACCCATGTCCTCCTGCATATCAGGTGACGGCGAACGGGGTTGATAGATCGTGTGAAACAGCAGCTTAGCGTGGGGACGAAAGAGTCGCCTGGGTGGGTGAACACTCTGCCGCTGCCGGAAGCCGGTCACCGGCCCGGTCGCCCATGAACAAGAGCCGCCCGATCGGGGGGGGGGGGGATTCTAACTCCCGCTCCTCTGAATCTGACTCTGCTTTAGCGTCCGTCACGCTTCGAACCGCTCCGCGTGAACAGCCCGATCACACTTTGTGCTCGTTAATTCTCGCCAAGGTCCGGTGCCGTTCACGCACGAGGGCCCCCCTCGCCCCCCCACCGCAGCCCCCCCCCCCGCACTCGCGGTCCCACGTTGGACGACATCGGCACGAAGGCGCCGCTCTCCGCGGCCCTGCCACGGAGACGGACAAAAGTGCGATTCGATGTGGACATCCTCACGCGGCCTCAGCTCGGCCTCCCGCTGTGATCACATAATGATGTGTGCACATGCGGGGGTGGGGGGGTGGTGGTGAAGGATAGGGACGACCGATTTGGGGGGGGGGCGGGGGCGGGGGGGAGCGCTCCCCTGTCGCGCGCACTGGAGAGGATCCGAGCTGCTTGCCAAGCCGAGCGTGGGGCGCGAAGGGGCGGGGAAGTGTGGGGGGGGGGGGGGGGGTCGCAGTACAGACGCGGTACGGGTATAGAGGCATGTTGAACATTACATGCATGTCTGTGAGCAGACACGAGAGCGAGAGAGCGAGAGGCAGGGAGAGAGAGAGAGAGAGAGGGGGGGAGTGTGCACAGGCAGGGAGAGATAGAGATCAGATCCATGCTGCAGATTAATCTCCCGGGACCAGCTGCTGACGTTTCCTCCCACGGCTGAGTTAAGCAGAGCCCCCCCCCCCTTCCTATATCCCCCCCCCACCCTTCCCCCCCTCCCAACTCCCCCCTCCACCCCCAGACGTGCCGACGTAAATCCTCTCTGACAGCCCCATCTGGCTGCGCGCTCCGCGTTGGGATTATTCACCCCCCCCACTCACCTCCCCCTACTCCCACCCACCCCACCCCGCGGCTTCTCGGCTTCCTCCCTCTCAATCCCCCCCCCCCCCCGCTAATCCCGCGAGATTCACACCAACAGGTAAAGCTCCATTAAACTCTCACTGGGGCTCGGGTGTCGTCGACACGATGCCTCTCAGCGCCACCAGCCACCTCGGGGTCGGGGTGGGGAGAAGGAGGCAGAGTGGGCAGGTGGAACAGCGGGATAGTGGGAGGAGGTGGATGGGAGAGACGTTGATTGGGGAAGAGGAGTGGGGACTGGTAGGTGGGAGGTAAGGGGGTGAGATATGGAGAGGCCGGGGGGGGGGCTGGGTTCTGTGTGTGTGGGGGGGGGGCACAGGCAGGTACACAGTCTGACGCGTCATGGCGAGAGCGCGTCACAAACATCAGCGACACGTGACCCGCACGGCGTCATCCTCCTCCCGACACCACTGTACGTGCCAACTCTGTCTGCCCCCCCCCCCCGCCCCCCGCGCCCCCCCCCCCCGCCTCCCCCCGCAGTGCTTAACGGCACCAGCAGCAGCCACTCCCCTTCTGCCGGCTCGCTTGGGGGGTCCCCCTCATCCCCACCGACCGGATACCATGGCAGCAGCGGAGGTGGAGGAGGAGGAGGTGGGGGAGGAGGAGGTGGGGGAGGAGGAAACGGAGGTGGAGGAGGCGGCGGAGGAGGAGGAAGCGGAGGAGGCGGTGGGGGAAGCGGAACGGGGGGCCCTGCCCCTCTGCTGGGCCAGCCCCCCGCGCTCCCGGCAGCGTGCGGGGCGCGTCAGCTCAGCAAGTTGAAGCATTTCCTGGCCACGTTGCAGCAATTCAGCTGCGACATCTCCCCCGAGATCGGCGAGCGCGTGCGCGTGCTCGTACTGGGGCTGGTGGTGAGATACCCCCCCCCCGCCGCCCCCCACTGCCGCCCCTCACAATCTCCACACTGCCGCCCCCCACATTCCCCACCATCCCCAATGCTGCCCCCCATAATCCCCCACACTGCCGCCAACAATGCTGCCCCCACACCGCCCCCCCCACTCCCAATACTGCCCCCCATAATCCACCCACACCTCCCCCCAACCACTGCCACCCCCCCCAATCCCCCTCCCCCCACCACTGCCGCCCCGACTGCAGCCCCCCACAATTCCCCCACCCCGCCTGCCCACTGCCACCTTTTCTTGTACAAAAACCGGTCCTGGGCCTCCCCTAGGTGTCTCATTACCAGTTGGACACACGTGGTGATATTTCGTGCCCAGTTAGATGTAGGGTCCCAGTAGGACATACGTGGTGATATCTCGTGCCCAGTTAGATGTAGGGTCCCAGTAGGACACACGTGGTGATATTTCGTGACCAGTTAGATGTAGGGTCCCAGTAGGACACACGTGGTGATATTTCGTGACCAGTTAGATGTAGGGTCCCAGTAGGACACACGTGGTGATATCTCGTGACCAGTTAGATGTAGGGTCCCTGTGGGACGCACGTGGTGATATCTCGTGCCCAGTTAGATGTAGGGTCCCAGTGGCACACACGTGGTGGTATCTCGTGACCAGTTAGATGTAGGTCCCAGTGGGACGCACGTGGTGATATCTCGTGCCCAGTTAGATGTAGGGTCCCAGTAGGACACACGTGGTGATATTTCGTGACCAGTTAGATGTAGGGTCCCAGTAGGACACACGTGGTGATATCTCGTGACCAGTTAGATGTAGGGTCCCTGTGGGACGCACGTGGTGATATCTCGTGCCCAGTTAGATGTAGGGTCCCAGTGGCACACACGTGGTGGTATCTCGTGACCAGTTAGATGTAGGGTCCCAGTGGGACACACGTGGTAATATCTCGTGACCAGTTAGATGTAGGGTCCCAGTTGGACACACGTGGTGACATCTCGTGACCAGTTAGATGTAGGTCCCTGTGGGACACACGTGGTGATATCTCGTGCCCAGTTAGATGTAGGGTCCCAGTGGGACGCACGTGGTGATATCTCGTGACCAGTTAGATGTAGGTCCCAGTGGGACGCACGTGGTGGTATCTCGTGACCAGTTAGATGTAGGGTCCCAGTTGAACACATGGTGATGACTTGTGACCAGTTAGATGTAGGGTCCCAGTGGGACACACGTGGTGATATCTCGTGACCAGTTAGATGTAGGTCCCAGTGGGACGCACGTGGTGATATCTCGTGACCAGTTAGATGTAGGGTCCCTGTGGGACCCACGTGGTGGTATCTCGTGACCAGTCGTGGTGATGCCCGTACAGAACTCCACGCTGAGTATCGAGGACTTTCACGGGAAGCTGCAGGAGGCGACCAACTTCCCGCTGCGCCCCTTCGTGATCCCCTTCCTCAAGGTGAGTGTGGGAGTGGGTGGGTGGGTGAGTGTGGGAGTGGGTGAGTGTGGGAGTGTGGGAGTGGGTGGGTGGGTGAGTGTGGGAGTGTGGGAGTGGGTGAGTGTGGGAGTGTGGGAGTGGGTGAGTGTGGGAGTGGGTGGGTGGGTGAGTGTGGGAGTGTGGGAGTGGGTGAGTGTGGGAGTGGGTGAGTGTGGGAGTGGGTGGGTGGGTGAGTGTGGGAGTGTGGGAGTGGGTGAGTGTGGGAGTGGGTGAGTGGGTGGGTGAGTGTGGGAGTGTGGGAGTGGGTGAGTGTGGGAGTGGGTGAGTGTGGGAGTGGATGCGTCTGGGAGTGGGTGAGTGTGGGAGTGGGTGAGTGTGGGAGTGTGGGAGTGGGTGAGTGGGTGAGTGTGGGAGTGGGTGAGTGTGGGAGTGTGGGAGTGAGTGAGTGTGGGAGTGGGTGAGTGTGGGAGTGGGTGAGTGTGGGAGTGGGTGAGTGTGGAAGTGTGGGAGTGGGTGAGTGTGGGAGTGGGTGCGTCTGGGAGTGGGTGCGTCTGGGAGTGGGTGAGTGTGGGAGTGGGTGAGTGGGTGAGTGTGGGAGTGGGTGAGTGTGGGAGTGGGTGAGTGTGGGAGTGGGTGAGTGGGTGAGTGTGGGAGTGGGTGAGTGTGGGAGTGGGTGAGTGTGGGAGTGGGTGCGTCTGGGAGTGGGTGAGTGTGGGAGTGGATGAGTGTGTGAGTGTGGGAGTGGGTGAGTGTGGGAGTGGGTGAGTGGGTGAGTGTGGGAGTGTGGGAGTAGGTGAGTGTGGGAGTGAGTGAGTGAGTGAGTGAGTGTGGGAGTGGGTGAGTGTGGGAGTGGGTGAGTGTGGGAGTGGGTGAGTGTGGGAGTGTGGGAGTGGGTGAGTGTGGGAGTGGGTGCGTCTGGGAGTGGGTGAGTGTGGGAGTGGATGAGTGTGTGAGTGTGGGAGTGGGTGAGTGTGGGAGTGGGTGCGTCTGGGAGTGGGTGCGTCTGGGAGTGGGTGAGTGTGGGAGTGGGTGAGTGTGGGAGTGGGTGAGTGTGGGAGTGGGTGAGTGTGGGAGTGTGGGAGTGAGTGAGTGTGGGAGTGGGTGAGTGTGGGAGTGGGTGAGTGTGGGAGTGGGTGAGTGTGGAAGTGTGGGAGTGGGTGAGTGTGGGAGTGGGTGCGTCTGGGAGTGGGTGCGTCTGGGAGTGGGTGAGTGTGGGAGTGGGTGAGTGGGTGAGTGTGGGAGTGGGTGAGTGTGGGAGTGGGTGAGTGTGGGAGTGGGTGAGTGGGTGAGTGTGGGAGTGGGTGAGTGTGGGAGTGGGTGAGTGTGGGAGTGGGTGCGTCTGGGAGTGGGTGAGTGTGGGAGTGGATGAGTGTGTGAGTGTGGGAGTGGGTGAGTGTGGGAGTGGGTGAGTGGGTGAGTGTGGGAGTGTGGGAGTAGGTGAGTGTGGGAGTGAGTGAGTGAGTGAGTGTGGGAGTGGGTGAGTGTGGGAGTGGGTGAGTGTGGGAGTGGGTGAGTGTGGGAGTGTGGGAGTGGGTGAGTGTGGGAGTGGGTGCGTCTGGGAGTGGGTGAGTGTGGGAGTGGATGAGTGTGTGAGTGTGGGAGTGGGTGAGTGTGGGAGTGGGTGCGTCTGGGAGTGGGTGCGTCTGGGAGTGGGTGAGTGTGGGAGTGGGTGAGTGGGTGAGTGTGGGAGTGGGTGAGTGTGGGAGTGGGTGAGTGGGTGAGTGTGGGAGTGGGTGAGTGTGGGAGTGGGTGAGTGTGGGAGTGGGTGAGTGTGGGAGTGGGCGAGTGTGGGAGTGGGTGAGTGTGGGAGTGTGGGAGTGGGTGAGTGTACATGGGTGAGTAGGTGTGCGGGTTGAGTATACATAGTCGTTGGGGAGTGGTAGTGTTGCGATTAGTGCGCTGCGCTACAGACCCGGCGACCCGAGTTGGATGCCTATCCACAGCCAACACCGGTCACGATTTTCTGAACCGGTCCTGGGTCGCCCCTAGGTTGACTCAGCCTCAAATGAGAACCTGGTACGTTGCGTAGAAATAGCCGCTAGGGAGACATTGGCAGGGGGGTGGCGGGCGTGGTGCTGGCCACCCACCCCCTTGCGTGCCATCCCGGCCTTCACGCCACTTGCCTCAAAAGTATGTTAAGGCTATATGGGGGATATTTGTCTTTGTGTCGCCGTACACGCACACATGTTGTGCGAATTTAACTTAAACTATTCTTTGGTTCTTTCGGTAAAGTCACGAAGATAGAAAAATATTAAAAATAAAAATGATGAAAAATAAAATAAAACACTAATGTAGACTGTAGCCTGGTTCTTAATCGGAGTGAGTGTACTAGCAGTCTATAATGTAGACTGTAGTAATGGTTAATAAGCTGGGTGAGTGTACTGGCAGTATATAAAGTTGACTGTACCCTGGTTCTTAACCTGAGTGAGCGTACTAGCAGTTTATAATGTAGACTTATTCTCGGTTCTTTCAGGAATAAAAAATAAAATTAAATACATTATATAATGCCATTACACTCACCAAGCTTAAGAACCAGGCTACAGCCTACATTAATGGTTTTAATTGTTATTGTTTTTTAAATATTTTTATTATAATTGTCTATGTACGTGACTTTTACCGAAAGAACCAAAGAATATGAATTCCTGGAGGTCTGTGCATCTACTCATGATTTGCCTTGCCTGTCTCACCCATGCCCACCCGTGCCCACCCGTGCCCACCCGTGCCCACCATGCCCACCCATGCCCACCCGTGCCCCCCCCCCCACCACGTGACCCCCCAGGCGAACCTGCCTCTCCTGCAGCGGGAGCTGCTGCACTGCGCGCGCCTGGCCAAGCTTCCCCCCGCCCAATACCTCTCCACTCACCAACACCTCCTGCTCGAGCTGGGGGGCCTGGTCGGTGCCGGGGTGGGGGGCGCCGCCCAACTCCCGCCGATGCCGGCCGCTCACCCGACCCTGTCGGCCGTGGCGAGCCCCAACGGGGGGCCCTGCACCCCGGGGACCCCCGCGCTCGCGTCCCCCTTCGACTCCCCCGACCTCCTCCTGGAGCTCAACGAGAGCGGCAAGCGGAGGGGCGGCGAGCACAGGTCAGTGACGTCGGCGTGCCCGGCGCAAGTTGCCGTCAGCGAGCAACGCAGCCTCGTTTGAGGCTGAGTCGACCTAGGGGAGGCTCAGGACCACTTCAGATATAGATCGCCGGATTCCTAGAGCATTGCGTTAGCCGCTCCCCCCGCCGCTCCCCCCGCCGCTCCCCGACATGCACAGACGTACGCTACAACTGAAATGGCAGTAAAGTCATCACATCGCTTGTACCAGGCTCGGTGCACCCCGGAGGCCACGTGAAGTGTGGAAGGCTCGTCGGCCAGCGGTCACGGGACAGACCCAGGTACCGTGGGTTGACTGAATGAGATGGCCGGCAGATGCACCATCTGTGCTCCCTACTGTGCCAACTTGAAGTGTTTTAGGCGCACGGCGCTCCGCTCGTTGTTGTGAGCGTCGCCCTTCTGCCCTACGTTGTTGTTGGAGGGCGACTGCCTCCAACTGCCCAGCAGCGTCCTTGACACCGCTGGCACCGGTCATCGGCAAGTCCGCTCAGCTTCACATCCTCCTGTTCCGCATCACTCCATCTCTTCTCTATCCCGTGCCATGCCCGTTTAGCCCCCTTTACCCAGCTAAACAGAAGCTGTTTGGGCATGCGGTGGCTGGGCATCGGGCTACATGACCCAGCCAATGCAGCATCGCCTGCCTGAGGAGCTCGCCGATGGGACTGTGTCCAGATTTTTCAAGGATCCGTGAGCGTCTCACACAATTCAGTGTGGTTAAACTCAGGACGGGCCATAGGCAGGCCAGCCCGAATGTTTCAAACCAACGTAGATGTTCCTACAAAGGGGTACACGTGTTGCAAGGATAGAGAATGAAGGAAATTTGCTGTAGCAGCGCAGACCCAGAGCTTTGTGTGGAGTGACAGACCAAGTATCTTACACACAGCAGCGTTGCGCAGTTGATGAAAATCGTGGATATTGCCACTGTGGTCATGAGCACGCTACCCAAGTGCGGGAACGTCTACGCTCTCTACAATACATGCCCCATAACTCATGGGGAGTGGAGGGGGTGGAGCATTCGATGACATAAAATACCGAGGCAGGTGCTTCGCTCTTTTGTGGCGCTGATGGTAAGGCGCCATCTCTTAAGTGGCACGCTCCAGGATCAGGGGTAGCGACTCTGATTCATTCTCAGAGTGAGCAGCAATTCATATATCATCAGCACGTGTAACTCGTTCGGCCAACATGGAGCTATCCCTTGAACGGCACCTGGGCACACAAGCAAATACATATCTACACACACATGGGTACATAGTTACATAGTTACAGAGGTATATAGGTGCATAGGTACATGCACCGATGCCGTTTGGATACGCGGTAGCCACGCCATCGAAATGAGATACGCACTCCCCATGCACACACACACACACCCTCCACCCGTGTACACACACACACTCCCCCGTGTACACACACACTCCACCCGTGCACACACACACACACACTCCCCGTGTACAAACACACACACACTCCCCGTGTACAAACACACTCCGTATATACACACACACACACACCGTGTACACACATCGTGTACACACACACCGTGTACACACACCGTGTTCACACACACCGTGTACACACACACCGTGTACACACACACCGTGTATACACACACGCCGTGTACACACGCCGTGTACACACACACCGTGTACACACACTCTCCGTGTACACACACACACGGCGTGTACACACACACACACCGTGTAAACAGACACACGCCGTGTACACACACACACGCGCCGTGTACACACACACACACGCGCCGTGTACACACATGCACCGTGCACACACACACGCCGTGTACACACACACACACACCGTGCACACACGCACCGTGCACACACGCACCGTGCACACACACACGCCGTGCACACACACACCGTGTACACACACACACACCGTGTACGTGTACACACACACACCGTGTACACACACCGTGTACACACACACAAACACAGTGTACACACACACCGTGCACAGACACACGCACCGTGTACACACACAAACACACACCGTGTACACATACACACCGTGTGTACACACACATACCGTGTGTACACACACACACACACCGTGTGTATACACACACACACACACACCGTGTACACACACACACACCGTGTGCACGCACACACACACACCGTGTGTGCACGCACACACACACACCGTGTGTGTACGCACACACACACCGTGTATATATATACACACACACACCGTGTACACACACACACACACCGTGTACACACACACACACACCGTGTACACACACACACCGTGTGTGTACGCACACACACACACCGTGTGTACGCACACACACACACACCGTGTATATATACACACACACCGTGTACACACACACACACCGTGCACGTACACACACACACCGTGTGCACACACACACACCGTGTGTACACATACACACACACCGTGTACATACACATACACACCGTGTACACACACATACACACACCGTGTACACACACATACACACACACCGTGTACATACACATACACACACCGTGTGTACACACACACCGTGTACACACACACACCGTGTACATACACACACCGTGTACACACACACCGTGTACACACACACGGTGTCTATACACACACACACCGTGTACACACACACACCGTGTCTACACACACACACACCGTGTCTATACACACACACACACCGTGTACACACACACCGTGTCTACACACACACACACACCGTGTCTATACACACACACACACCGTGTCTATACACACACACCGTGTACACACACACACCGTGTACACACACACACCGTGTCTATACACACACACACCGTGTACACACACACACACCGTGTCTATACACACACACACACCGTGTCTATACACACACACACACCGTGTCTATACACACACACACCGTGTCTATACACACACACCGTGTCTATACACACACACCGTGTCTATATACACACACCGTGTCTATACACACACACCGTGTCTATACACACACACCGTGTACATATACACACACCGTGTACATATACACACACCGTGTACATATACACACAGCGTGTACACACACACCGTGTACACACACCGTGTCTATGCACACACACACCGTGTCTATACACACACACACCGTGTACACACACACCGTGTCTATACACACACACACACACACCGTGTCTATACACACACACACACCGTGTACACACACACACACCGTGTCTACACACACACACACACCGTGTACACACCGTGCGCTCGTCTCTGTGGACCGCACCCCCTGCACCCCCCCCCTGCCCCGTGCCCCCCCTTCCCCCTCCCTCCCAACACCTCCATCCCCGCCGCGCGCGCTCTTAATGGCGTGCAGTTTTAATGAGGCAGCTTTAATGACTTCACCAATCTGTGAAACGCGCCAGATGTGATCGCATTTTAATGTCTCGTGGCAAAGGCACTTTGAGCTTCAGATCCATCTTTCATGCAGCTTTGGGCTCCCCCCCTCCCCTCCCACCCCGGTGTGTGTGTGTCCAAGCGTAGGTGTGTGTCTGTGTGTGTCTGTGTGTTGTATACGGGGAGCGGTAGCGTAGCGGTTAGCGCTACGCTGCACTACGAGCACAGCGACCCCAGTTCGATTCCCACTCACGGCCAACACCGGTGACGATTATCTGAACCGGTCCTGGACTTCCCCTAGGTCGACTCGGCCTCAAATGAGTACCAGGTGCGGTGTGTAAACATCGCCACTGGAGAGACAAAGGCGGCCGGGCGTGGTGCTGGCCACCCACCCCCTCGTGTGTCGTGTCGGGGTTCATAGGTGCTCACTAACAGCACTTGCCCCAACAGTCTAGTAGAGGCTATACGCTGTCTTTGTATGTGGGGAGCGGTAGCGCAGTGGTTAGCGCTGTACTGCGCCTGAAAAAAATCCACCAATCCCCGAGTTTTTGATATCCGCCCTCGGCCAATTCCGGTGACGAGTATCTGAACCGGTCCTGAGTCTCCCCAAGGTCGACTCAGCCTCAAATTAGTATGTATGTTGAACTGCTGTCGCAACGTACGTGGGCTCCCGACAGCCTGGTGCGGTGTGTACACATCGCCACTGGGGAGACAAAGGCGGTCGGGCGTGGTGCTGGCCAACCACCCCCCTCGAATGCCGTTTCGGGCCCTCATAGGTGCTCGCTACTAACAGCACTTGCCCAAACAGTCTGATAAGGCTACACGGGGGATATTTGTCTTTGTTTTGAGTGCGGGTAGCGGTGCTGTCGCGACCAGCCCGGCCACCCGAGTTCCATTCCCGTTCGAGGACAACGTCAGTGGCGAATATCTGAACCGATTGTGTGCCTCTCTCTCTCATGTCTCCCGCAAACTTACACAACTGGGGAGACAAAGGCGTCCGGGCGTGGTCCTGGCCACACCACCCCCTCGTGTACCGTCGCGGCCTTCACAGGTGCGCACGAGCAGCACTTGCCCCAACAGCCTGCGTAAGGCTACACGGGGATATTTGTCTTTTTTTTGTCTTTTGGTGTACATGTACACAGTGCGAATATCGACTTGTCCATATCGCATTATTTAGTCCCCGTTTATAAACATGTTCATATCATTTTAGGAATATAAGTGTGCAATTATGCACGACTGTAATTATTGTAATGGAAAGGCGCACTTTGTACTCTGGTTGGCGGTGCCTTACGCAGCTAAATCCGACTGATCTCAAGCCAGCCGAGCAGCGTTTCGGGAAATATCGAGCGAGAAGTGAAGGCCCGCGTGTGAATGTGTGTACGTTTGTAGCGGTTAGCGCTACGCTGCGCTACGAACCCGGCGATCCGTGCTCCATTCCCGTTCACGACCAACACCAGTGACGATTATCTCAACCGGTCCTGGGCCTCCCATAGGCCTCCAATGATGAGTACCTGCTGTGGTGCGTAAACATCACCACTGGGGAGACAAAGGCGGTCGGGGGTGGTGCTGGCAATCTACCCCCTCGTGTGCCGTTCCGGCCTCGCTAACAGCACTTGCCCAAACAGTCTAAGGGAATACGGGGAATCTTTGTCTTTTGTCAGAGTGCATGCCCAATGAACTCCACATCCTTCTGTACCACATCAGCCCATCTCTTCTCTAGCCCGTGCCGAGCCCGTTTATCCCAATCTATCAAGGAGCTTCTGCTGTTTGACCGGATAGATGAGGCTTAACGGGCGAAGCACAGACAATAGGAGCGATGGACTGATAGGCGTGGTACCAGCGGTGTCAACATCGGCTTCTGTGGAAGAGGTTCGTGAAGGACGCTGCTGGGGAGCTGAGGCAATCGCCCTCCAGCAACAACGGAGGGCGGAGGAGCGATGCTCACAACAACGAGCAGAGCGATGGGCGGATAAAACGCAGAAAGTTGGCAAAGTGGGGAGTACAGTTGGTACATTTGCCAGTTATCTCAGTCAGTCAACCCAAGGCACCTGGGTCTGTTCCGTGACATCCTGCTAGCAGGCCTTCGCCACTTCACAGGTAACCTCAAAGTGCACCTAGCCTGGCACAAACGCCTCGGGATAAGTGCTGTTCGCGATCGCCTATGAAGGTCAACACAACACCTTGAATAGGTGGCCAACACCACGCCCGGCCGCCTTTGTCTTCCCAGTGCTGAGTCGACCTATAGGTGGCATAGGAGCGGTTCAGAAAATGAAACAAAAGCTGAAAAGCGCGCAAAAGTAAGCGTGGAGAGATGCATTCTTTGAATGCGCATGGAGAGGAAGAGAGGGAGAGGAACACGTGGGTTACAGATCACACTCAGGTCACCGGCATTCAACGCCTCGGTTACTGGCATCCGAGCGGACGTACGGGGGTGTCGTGATGCGTGCTGGGTGTCGTGATGCGTGTTGGGTGTCGTGATGCGTGCTGGGTGTCGTGATGCGTGCTGGGTGTCGTGATGCGTGCTGGGTGTCGTGATGCGTGCTGGGTGTCGTTACGAGTGCTGGGTGTCGTGATGCGTGCTGGGTGTCGTGACGAGTGCTGGGTGTCGTGATGCGTGCTGGGTGTCGTGATGAGTGTCGTGATGCGTGCTGGGTGTCGTGCTGGGTGTCGTGATGAGTGTCGTGATGCGTGCTGGGTGTCGTGATGAGTGCTGGGTGTCGTGATGCGTGCTGGGTGTCGTGACGAGTGCTGGGTGTCGTGATGCGTGCTGGGTGTCGTGATGAGTGTCGTGATGAGTGCTGGGTGTCGTGATGCGTGCTGCGTATCGTGATGAGTGTCGTGATGCGTGCTGGGTGTCGTGACGAGTGCTGGGTGTCGTGATGCGTGCTGGGTGTCGTGATGCGTGCTGCGTATCGTGATGAGTGCTGGGTGTCGTGATGAGTGTCGTGATGCGTGCTGGGTGTCGTGCTGGGTGTCGTGATGCGTGCTGGGTGTCGTGATGCGTGCTGGGTGTCGTGACGAGTGCTGGGTGTCGTGATGCGTGCTGGGTGTCGTGATGAGTGTCGTGATGAGTGCTGGGTGTCGTGATGCGTGCTGGGTGTCGTGATGCGTGCTGGGTGTCGTGATGAGTGTCGTGATGAGTGCTGGGTGTCGTGATGAGTGCTGGGTGTCTTGATGCGTGCTGGGTGTCGTGCTGGGTGTCGTGATGCGTGCTGGGTGTCGTGATACGTGCTGGATGTCGTGATACGTGCTGGGTGTCGTGACGAGTGCTGGGTGTCGTGATGAGTGCTGGGTGTCGTGATGAGTGCTGGGTGTCGTGATGAGTGCTGGGTGTCGTGACGAGTGCTGGGTGTCGTGATGAGTGCTGGGTGTCGTGATGCGTGTCAGGCTGCTGGAATCCGAGCTGACGTGCGCGGGACCCGTCGCTGGAAGAGTTCTTGTAGTGACCGCAGGGCGAGAATAACAACGGAGTGGCAGCCAACGGAGGGAGCGCGCACACGAGGAGGAATACAACCCGCGCACCCGAGTTCGATTCCTGACCACGGCTAACGTCAGTGGCAGAAAATCTGAACGGGTCGCCTGGTCTTCCCCTATGCCGACTCAGATTTCAATGAGTAACCTGGTGTGAGGTGTAAACATTTACACTCGGGAGACAAAGGCGGCCAGGCGTGGTGATGGCCATACCGCCAGTCGTGTACCGGGCTTTCCTTGATAGATGCTCGCCAATAGCATTTGTCTTAATGGTTCGTTGAAGGCTACCTGGGGGATCTTTGTACGTGTGTGTGTACCTCGTCTCTGTCATATATGCAGGGCTGAATGCTCTGCTTGAGGAGCGGCGGTGTAGCGGTTACAACCTGCGCTTTGAACCCACTTTGATTCCCGCTCGCGACCATCAACACCAGTGACGATGATCAGAACCGATCCTGGGCCTCCCCTAGGTCGACTCAGCCTCAAATGAGTATCTGGTGCGGTGTGTAGTAAACATCGAACACGAACACGTGTGTGATATCTAGGCAGCCCTACGACACGTTCTGTTGCATTGAGCGAGGAGGAGGCTTTACATATTCATACCATGGGAGATTGCGGTCGAGGAAACGACGGGCACTACACACACATACACATGGGGTGTATGTGTGTGTAGTGGGGAGCGGTAGTGTAGCGGTTAGCGCGCTGCGCTATGAACCTGGCGATCCGAGTTCGATTCCCGTTCACGGTCAACACCAGTGACGATTAGCAGAACCGGTCCTTGGCTCAGCCTTAAATGAGTACCTGGTGCGGTGTGTAAGCATCACCCACCCCCTCGTGTGCTGTGGCCTGCCTTCATAGGTGCTCGCTAAAAGCACTTGCCCCCAACAGTCTGTTAAGGCTGTACGGGGGGGTCTTTGTCTTGTAGTAGTAGGTGTGTGTGTGTAGTATAAGTGTATAGTAGTGTGTGTATGTATATTTGTAGTAGGAGTCGGTGTGTGTGGTGTAGTAGTAGTAGGAGTGTGTGTGTGTGTGTTAGGAGTGTGTGTAGTCGTAGTCGCAGTGTGTGTAGTAGTAGGAGTATGTGTGTATGTGTGCAGTCGTAGTAGCAGTGTGTGTAGTAGTAGGAGTGTGTGTGTGTGTGTAGTAGTAGGAGTGTGTGTATGTGTGCAGTAGGTGTGTGTGTAGTAGTAGGTGTGTGTGTGTAGTAGTAGTAGGATTGTGTGTGTAGTAGTAGAAGTATGTGTGTGTGTAGTAGTAGGACTGTGTGTATGTGTGCAGTAGGTGTGTGTGTGTAGTAGTAGGAGTATGTGTGTGTGTGTAGTAGTAGGAGTGTGTGTATGTGTGCAGTAGGTGTGTGTGTGTTAGTAGGATTGTGTGTGTGTGTGTGTCGCGTCCCACTGAGAGCCATTAGCTGGCAGCAGAGCCAAATTGAGATCGCCGAGGTGGAACCACGCCAACTGTGCCGCGCTCTCAAATCTCCTCCTCCTCCCGCCGCCGCGCGCCCCGCACTAAACAGCCATTCCTGCGGAGCAATCTGTGAAATACGGGACTCCCGGGGCGCGAGGAAGGCGGGGAGGAGAGATGGAGGGGAGAGAAGAGAGAGAGAGGGGAAGCCTCGAGGAGGGGTGGGGGGGTGAACGAGAGGCTGACTACGCGCGCAACTTTGCCAGGGCGTCGAAATGAGTCGCATCGCGATTGGCACCTTACGCGTGTCGTGTGAAGCCCTCCTCCACCCGGCCGCAGCCGATGGGTGAAAGTTGTCCCGGGAGCGAGCGTGCCCCCCCCTCCCCAGTGAGTGGTGTGCAAGTGGAGAGCGATCCACAAACAACAGACAACGCCGTGGTGCGTAGCGATTCGGTAGGAGCGTTGTCAATTCTCAGCTGCGCCGTACGCATTGATTGCTTGAAACGTCTGAGTCGGGCGAGGGGGTGGGGGAGTGGGTCACAGGGTAGTCACGTGGGGGGTATACGGTGTAGGGGGGCAGCAGAGGGCAGCGAGGAAGAATAAGAAGAGGAAGAATAGAGAACGGGAGGTCCTCGACTTACGAGGACACTGAGACCTATGACTATTATTCACGATGGTCCTGCTACTACATTGGGTTTTTATTTGTAAGATGCTTTCAGCTGATTAATCCTTAGTTATGTTTATTATACAAGTAGGAAGGAACCCAAATAGCCACAGAAAACCCACGCATGCGAGGTGACAACGCTATATCCCCGCACAAACAGGTGGCGATTAGTCCACTTGCTGTATTGCCTTCTTCTGGCGCGTATCGCACTCCCTGAACGCCCACGGGAAGGGAGTTTCACAACCCATCTGTGTGTGATCCACCAACCCTTGCTGCTACCTCCACAGCGCTGTGTCACAGACCACGTGCACCGTGGCTGCCACCACCCGGCTGGAAACCTTGGGAGACTCTGACCTGGAGACTCTGACCTGGTGACCTGGAGACTCTGACCTGGTGACCTGGAGACTCTGACCTGGTGACTCGGACCTTGTGACCTTGACGAAGCCAAAATCACGGCGTTACTGTGAAATAACCACTTATGCTGGGCGTGACTGGGTGAGTGCAGGGTGTCGTGGTGAATACCGACTGTCATACGTGCTGGGCCGTGATGAGTGCTGGGAGTCCTAAGTGCAGGGTGTCGCGTGAGCGAGCGCCGGGCATTTTTTTTCCTGCGGGTTTGTCGAAACGAAAGTCCTGGATGTCGTGGCCTCCGGCTGTCACGAGCGAGTGCCGGGCGTTACACGTGGGGCGCTGCATGCCCGCGAGGTCCCCGCTGGGTACTCTATCCGCCGTCCCTTCCTTCCATGCTCCCATCGTTCCTGCAGGGTGCGAGAGAACGGCTCTCTCGACCGGGACTCGCTGGGACCCCCCGCTAAGCGCGGGTGCACGGCGAGCCCCGCGCAGCGCTACAGCCCTGGGCAGCAGCAGCAGCAGCAAGCCATCAACGGACTCCCTCCTCCATCCCTGCCCCACGGGGGCCCCATGTCCCTGGGCCCTCAGGCCACGCCGCCTCCGGTCCCTCCTCCGGCGACCACCACAGTGGCCGGGCCCCACTACGCGCACGGCGGCGCAGCCGGGTCGCACCCCCCTCCGCCGCGCCTGGTGGAGGGCGTCCACGGGGTCTCCTCGCACCTCTACCGGGAGGGGGCACCCTCCTACCGAGGGGACGTGCACGACCTCCGCGACAGACACCGGTCGCTCGGTACGCGTGGCGCACGCATTCATGGGTGGGTCGGTGAAATGACGGATGGACAAATAGATGGATGGACAGGTGGGTGGATGGGTGGACAGATAGCTGGATGGGTGGACAGATTGATGAATGGACAGAGAGATGGATGGACCCGTGGATGGATGGGTGGACGTATTTATGGATGGGTAGATGGGTGGATGTGTGGACAGATAGATGGATAGATGGATGGGTGGACAGATTGATGGATGGACAGAGAGATGGATGGACAGAGAGATGGATGGGTGGGCATATTTATGGATGGACAGGTGAGTGGATGGGTGGACAGACAGATGGATGGACAGAGAGATGGATGGACCCGTGGATGGATGGGTGGACGTATTTATGGAAGAACAGGTGGGTGGATGGGTGGACAGATTGATGGATGGATGGACAAATAGATGGACGGATGGGTAGATGGATGGATGAACAGGTGGATGGACAAATACATTAATTGGATGGCGAGAAATATGAATGGATGGATGGGCGGGGAGAAGCGTGGATGGGCAGATGAATGTATGTATGTTGAACTTCTTTTGCACGGTACGTAGCCAACCCTGTAAATCGTAGGTGCAGGGAAGGACAACAAACTAAACACAAAAAAGCAGTTCTTAAGAAATTAGTTTTCAATGTAGATTTAAATAGGCTGACACATAGCTGGAAGGCTGTATATATATTAATGGACGAATAGCTGGACATACAGAGGAATGTGCATATGCTGTATATGGATGGGTGAGCAGATGAATAGATGGATGGATGGGTAGACAGACTAAGAGACCCCAATCAAAAAATCCAATACATTTTTGAAAAATGTGTCGTGTGTGTGTGATTTATAGTGTCTGATGTAAGGTGTCGTTTACGGTGTTGTGTGGTTCACGGTGTGGTGTATGATGTGGTGTATGGTGTATGTGTGGTGTGTGATGTGGTGTATGTGTGGTGTATATGTATGGTGTAAAGCGTGGTGTATGCTGCAGTGTAGGTGTGGTGTATGTGTGTGGTATATGTGTGGTGTGTGATGTGATGTGTGATGTGGTATGTGTGTGGTGTGTGATGTGGTGTATGCGTGGTGTATGGTGTGGTGTATGTGTGTGGTATATGTGTGTGGCATATGTGTGGTGTATGTGTGGTGTATGTGTGGTATATGTGTGGTGTGTGATGTGGTGTATGTGTGGTGTATGTGTGTGGTATATGTGTGTGGTATATGTGTGGTGTGTGATGTGGTGTATGTGTGGTGTATATGTGGTGTATATGTGTGGTATATGTGTGTGGTATATGTGTGGTATATGTGTGGTGTGATGTGGTGTATGTGTGGTGTATATGTGTGGTGTATGTGTGTGGTGTATGGTGTGGTGTGATGTGGTGTATGGTGTGATGTATGTGTGCGGTATATGTGTGTGGTGTATGGTGTGGTGTATGTGTGTGGTATATGTGTGTGGTGTATGGTGTGGTGTATGTGTGTGGTGTGTGATGTGGTATGTGTGTGTTTGTATGTGTGCGGTGTATGTGTCTGGTGTATGGTGTGGTAAATCTGTGTGGTGTATGGTGTGGTGAATGTGTGTGGTATATGTGTGGTGTGTGATGTGGGGAGCGATAGTGTAGCGGTTGGCACCGCTACGTCCATGAACCCAGCGACCGGAGTTGGATTCCCGCTCGCGGCCAACACGAGTGACGATTATGTTTAACCGGTCCTGGGCCTCCCCTAGGTTGACTCAACCTTAAATGAGTACCTGGTGCATTGGGTCAACGTCACCACAAGAGAGATGTTGCCCCCCCCCTCCCCCCGCGTGTGCTGTGGCAGTCTTATTAGGCGCTACTCGCTGACAGCACACTTGTTCCAACAGTCTGTTACAGGCTACACGGGGGGGGGGGGGTTCTTTGTCTTTGTATGTTCGATGCTGTGTGGGTGGCTGCGCAGGACTGGGAGCCCCGAGGCAGGAAGAGGTCATAGACCATCGTCTCACTGACCGCGAGTGGGCCGAGGAGTGGAAACACCTGGACCAGGTGAGGCCCCCGCGCGTGTGCGCGTGTCCCCCGGGGAAGCTCCCGGCACGCGGAGCGAATCGTCGTTGTTGTCCCGACGTTTCGCAAGTCGATCCCTGAGGAGTCATCCGGCCTGTTGATTCGGCACGATGTCCGACGTTTCGTTCCACGAGCTTTGTAGCTTCTTCGGAGCAACCCGATAGCCCATCGTGGAACGGTAGGATGGTTCATTGGTACGAGGTGACCGGTGGCTCCGGCACCGCTGACGGTTGGGGGTTCGAGTCCGGGTTGGTTAGGCTCCAAGGCGTACAGAGAACAGTTGGTTGTGGGCCCCAGATGACATTTGATGGTGCAGGGTGGGGGGGGGGGTGGCCCCCCTCTGCACCCCATCACCCCGAGCCGCTCTCGACCTGCGCCCACACCCCCCGCCGGACTCTCCCCTCCGCACCCTCTCAAACTCCCGTGCAGTTGCTCGCGTGCATCCTGGAGATGGTGGAGAGGACGCGGCGCGCCCTCTCCGTGCTGCGCCGCTGCCAGGAGAGCGACCGCGTGGAGATCGCGCGCCTCGTGCGCCGCTGCGGGGACGCGGCGGCGGCCGCCGCCCACGACGCCAAGAAGGGGCCGGGACCCCTCGGCGGGGTCCTGGGAGCGGGGCTCTCGGCGGGGCTCGGAGGCGGCGGGGGTGGGGGAGGAGGGGGTGGACTGGCTTCGGCGGCGGGGCGCGGCTCGGGGGTCGTGGGGGTCTCTCCCAAGCTTGCTGGGGTCGCGGCGGCGGCGGCGGCTCCCATTGGTGCGTGGCGCGGGGGGTCGAACTTTGACCTGTGCCGTCCCTACCCCCCCCCCACATCTATCGCTCTATAACGAGCCGTGTTCTATCTACTGCTGGGTGACGACCTCCATCTCCTTTTCTCTGTGTTCTCTCACTCGCGTATCTCCACTTTGCCTCTCTCATCTCTCTAATCTCTCTCTGCGCATATTTCGTGTTGTCTCTCTCTCTCTCACCCTTCCTCGTCTCTCTTTCCTTCTCCCTCTCTCTCTCTGTGTCTCCTTCCCTCTGGCTCTCCCTCTTACCCCACCCCACTCCCCCTTTGCGTCTCTCTCCTTTCTTACTCGCTTTTCTCTACATCTGTCTCTCGATTTCTCTCGCTCTCCCCCCGTGGGTCTCTCCACGCTCCGTGTCTTCCGATCAATGCTTTTTTACTCTGACAGGCACGAGATGAGCGTGCGTGTCTGCACACGTGACTGAACGCGTGTCTGTACGCGTGTCTGTACACGTGTCTGTAGGCGTGCGTGTCTGCACACGTGACTGAACGCGTGTCTGTACGCGTGTCTGTACACGTGTCTGTAGGCGTGCGTGTCTGTACACGTGCGCTGTCTGGAGGCGTGCGTCCGTGCGTGTGGAGTGAGGAGCGGTGGTGCAGTGGTTAGCGCACTGCGCGAGGTACTTCGTGCGGTGTGCAAACACAGCACCGGGGAGACAAAGGCGCGGCCGCGAGTAGTGTTGGGCACCCTCCCCCTCGTGTACCGTGTCCCAACAGTCTGTTAAGGTTGCGCAGGGGAACTGTGACTGTTTTTTATTGGGCGTGTGAGTGAATGGGTGGGTGGGCGGGCGTGCTGGTGGGATCTGCAGGGTTGTTTGTGCACGCTGTGGATGAGACGACACAGTCAGTCTGTGAGGCCGAGTCCTCGAAATGGGTGGAGGAATCAATGAGGTCGTTCCACGGGAACAGGAACCGTGATCGTGGTTGTCGTAGCGATAAAGGAGTGATGAGGAGGTGACTGAACGCTACCTGTGGTGAATCATAGAATGATTAATTATCAATCAACCTCACTGCTGTAAATTGATTCTTGCCTCTCCTTGTCTCTGTGTCCCCGCGTGTCTCTGTGCGTGTGTCTGTGTCTCTGTGCGTGTCTCTGTGCATGTGTCTGTGTCTCTGTGCGTGTGTCTGTGCTTGTCTCTGTGCATGTCTCTGTGCGTGTCTCTGTGCGTGTGTCTGTGTCTCTGTGCGTGTCTCTGTCTGTGTCTCTGTGTCTCTGTGCGTGTCTCTGTGTCTCTGTGCGTGTGTCTGTGCGTGTCTCTGTGTCTCTGTGCGTGTCTCTGTCTGTGTCTCTGTGAGTGTGTCTGTGTCTCTGTGCGTGTCTCTGTGAGTGTCTCTGTGCGTGTCTCTGTGAGTGTGTCTGTACGTGTCTCTGTGAGTGTGTCTGTGCGCGTCTCTGTGCGTGTCTCTGTGCGTGTCTCTGTGCGTGTCTCTGCGCGTGTGTTTGTGCGTGTCTCTGTCTGTGTCTCTGTGCGTGTGTCTGTGCGTGTCTCTGTGCGTGTGTCTGTGCGTGTCTCTGTGTGTGTGTCTGTGCGTGTCTCTGTGCGTGTGTCTGTGCGTGTCTCTTTCTGTGTCTCTGTGAGTGTGTCTGTGCGTGTCTCTGTCTGTGTCTCTGTCTGCGTCTCTGTGCGTGTGTCTGTGCGTGTTTCTTTCTGTGTCTCTGTGTGTGTCTGTGCGTGTCTCTGTGCGTGTGTCTGTGCGTGTCTCTGTGCGTGTCTCTGTGAGTGTGTCTGTGCGTGTCTCTTTCTGTGTCTCTGTGTGTGTGTCTGTGCGTGTCTCTGTGTGTGTGTCTGTGGGTGTCTCTGTGCGTGTGTCTGTCTGTGTCTCTGTGCGTCTCTGTGTATGTCTCTGTGAGTGTGTCTGTGCGTGTCTCTGTCTGTGTCTCTGTGCGTGTCTCTGTGAGTGTCTTTGTGAGTGTGTCTGTGCGTGTCTCTGTGAGTGTGTCTGTGCATGTCTCTTTCTGTGTCTCTGTGTGTGTCTCTGTCTGTGTCACTGTGCGTGTGTCTGTGCGTGTGTCTGTGCGTGTGTCTGTGAGTGTCTCTGTGAGTGTGTCTGTGCGTGTCTCTGTGAGTGTGTCTGTGCGTGTCTCTGTGCGTGTCTCTGTGCGAGTGTCTGTGCGTTTCTCTGTGTCTCTGTGCGCGTGTCTGTGCGTGTCTCTGTGAGTGTCTCTGTGAGTGTGTCTCTGTGAGTGTGTCTGTGCGTGTCTCTGTGCGTGTCTCTGTGCGTGTCTCTGTCGGTGTCTCTGTGCGTGTGTCTGTGCGTGTCTCTGTGCGTGTGTCTGTGCGTGTGTCTGTGCGTGTGTCTGTGCGTGTCTCTGTCTGTGTCTCTGTGCGTGTGTCTGTGCGTGTCTCTGTGCGTGTGTCTGTGCGTGTCTCTGTGAGTGTGTCTCTGTGCGTGTGTCTGTGCGTGTGTCTGTGCGTGTCTCTGTGCGTGTCTCTGTGAGTGTGTCTGTACGTGTCTCTTTCTGTGTCTCTGTGTGTGTGTCTGTGCGTGTCCCTGTGCGTGTCTGTGTGTGTGTATCTGTGCGTGTCTCTGTGCGTGTCTCCGCGTGTCTCTGTGAGTGTGTCTGTGCGTGTCTCTGTGAGTGTGTCTGTGTGTGTGTGTGTCTGTGCGTGTCTCTGTGTGTGTGTCTGTGCGTGTCCCTGTGAGTGTCTCTGTGCGTATCTCTGTGTGTGTGTCTGTGCGTCTCTCTGTGAGTGTCTCTGTGTGTGTGTCTGTGAGTGTGTCTGTGCGTGTTTCTGTGCGTGTCTCCGCGTGTCTCTGTGTGTGTGTCTCCGCGTGTTTCTGTGTGTGTGTCTCCGCGTGTCTCTCTGCCTCAGACGCAGTGCGAGATCCTCCGATCAGACACGGCATGAGCTACATGCCAGAGGAGATCTGGAGAAAAGCCGGTTCGGCACTCACCAAACACTCACCAACACTCCCCCTCACCAACACTCCCCCTCACCAATACTCACCAACACTCCCCTTCACCAACACTCCCTCTCACCAACACTCACCAACACTCCCCCTCACCAACACTTACCCTCACCAATACTCACCAACACTCCCACTCGCCAACACTTACCATCACCAACACTCACCAACACTCCCACTCGCCAACACTTACCATCACCAACACTCACCAATACTCCCCCTCACCAACACTCACCCTCACCAATACTCACCAACACTCCCCCTCATCAACACTCCCCTCTCACCAACACTCACCAACACCCATTAACCCTCCCATTCACCAACACTTCCCCTCACCAACACACACCAACACTACCTTCACTAACACTCTTCCTCACCAACACCCCCCCCTCACCAACACCCCCCCTCACCAACACTCCCCCTCACCAACACTGCTCCTCACCAACACCCCCCCTCACCAACACCCCCCCTCACCAACACCCCCCCTCACCAACACTCCCTCTCACCAACACTGCTCCTCACCAACACCCCCCCTCACCAACACTCCCTCTCACCAACACTGCTCCTCACCAACACTCTTCCTCACCAACACTCCTCCTCACCAACACTCCCCCTCACCAACACTCCCCCTCACCAACACTCCCCCTCACCAACACTCCTCCTCACCAACACTCCTCCTCACCAACACTCACCAACACTCCCACTCACCAACACTCACCAACACTTCCCCTCACCAACACTCACCAACACTCCCCCTCACCAACACTCACCAACACCCCCCTCACCAACACTCCTCCTCACCAACAATCACCAACACTCCCCCTCACCAACACTCACCAACACTCACCCTCACCAACACTCCCCCTCAACAAGACTCGCCCTCACTAACACTCCCACTCAACAAAACTCACCCTCACCAACACTCCCGCTCACCAACAGAGCCCCTCACCAACACTCACCATCACCAAGACTCCTCCTCACCAACACTCCCCCTCACCAACACTCCCCCTCACCAACACTCCCCTTCACAAACACTCCCCTTCACCAACACTCACCAACACTCCCCCTCACCAACACTCCCCTTCACCAACACTCCCCCTCTCCAACACCCCCCTTCACCAACACTCACCAACACTCCTCCTCACCAACACTCCCCCTCATCAACACTCCCCCTCGCCAACACTCCCCCTTACCAACACTCACCCTCACCAACACTCCCCTCACCAACACGCCCCCTCACCAACACTCCCCTTCACAAACACTCACCAACACTCACCAACACTCCCCCTCACCAACACTCTCCATCACCAACACTCCCCCTCACCAACACTCACCTTCACCAACAATCACCAACACTCCTCCTCACCAACACTCACCAACACTCCCCCTCACCAACACTCCCCCTCACCAACACTCCCACTCACCAACACTCACCAACACTCCCCCTCACCAACACTCACCAACACTCACCAACACTCCCCCTCACCAACACTCACCAACCCTCACCAACACTCACCAACACTCCCCTTCACCAACACTCACCAACACTCCCCCTCACCAGCACTCCCCCTCACCAACACTCCCCCTCACCAACACTCACCAACACTCCCCCTCACCAACACTCCCCCTCACCAACACTCACCAACACTCACCAATACTCACCAACACTCCCCCTCACCAACACTCCCCCTCACCAACACTCCCCCTCACCAACACTCCCCCTCACCAACACTCCCCCTCACCAACACTCACCAACACTCCCCCTCACCAACCCTCACCAACACTCACCAACACTCACCAACCCTCACCAACACTCCCCCTCACCAACACTTCCACTCACCAACACTCACCAACACTCACCAACACTCCCCCTCACCAACACTCACCAACACTCCCCCTCACCAACACTCACCAACACTCTCCCTCACCAACCCTCACCAACACTCACCAACACTCCCCCTCACCAACACTTCCACTCACCAACACTCACCAACACTCCCCCTCACCAACACTCACCAACACTCCCCCTCACCAACACTCCTCCTCACCAACACTCCTCCTCACCAACACTCACCAACACTCCCACTCACCAACACTCACCAACACTTCCCCTCACCAACACTCACCAACACCCCCCTCACCAACACTCCTCCTCACCAACACTCACCAACACTCCCCCTCACCAACACTCACCAACACTCACCCTCACCAACACTCCCCCTCAACAAGACTCGCCCTCACTAACACTCCCACTCAACAAAACTCACCCTCACCAACACTCCCGCTCACCAACAGAGCCCCTCACCAACACTCACCATCACCAAGACTCCTCCTCACCAACACTCCCCCTCACCAACACTCCCCCTCACCAACACTCCCCTTCACAAACACTCCCCTTCACCAACACTCACCAACACTCCCCCTCACCAACACTCCCCTTCACCAACACTCCCCCTCTCCAACACCCCCCTTCACCAACACTCACCAACACTCCTCCTCACCAACACTCCCCCTCATCAACATTCCCCCTCACCAACACTCCCCCTCGCCAACACTCCCCCTTACCAACACTCTCCCTCACCAACACTCCCCTCACCAACACTCCCCCTCACCAACACTCCCCTTCACAAACACTCACCAACACTCACCAACACTCCCCCTCACCAACACTCTCCATCACCAACACTCCCCCTCACCAACACTCACCTTCACCAACAATCACCAACACTCCTCCTCACCAACACTCACCAACACTCCCCCTCACCAACACTCCCCCTCACCAACACTCCCACTCACCAACACTCACCAACACTCCCCCTCACCAACACTCACCAACACTCACCAACACTCCCCCTCACCAACACTCACCAACCCTCACCAACACTCACCAACACTCCCCTTCACCAACACTCACCAACACTCCCCCTCACCAGCACTCCCCCTCACCAACACTCCCCCTCACCAACACTCACCAACACTCCCCCTCACCAACACTCCCCCTCACCAACACTCACCCTCACCAATACTCACCAACACTCCCCCTCACCAACACTCCCCCTCACCAACACTCCTCCTCACCAACACTCCCCCTCACCAACACTCACCAACACTCCCCCTCACCAACCCTCACCAACACTCACCAACACTCACCAACCCTCACCAACACTCCCCCTCACCAACACTTCCACTCACCAACACTCACCAACACTCACCAACACTCCCCCTCACCAACACTCACCAACACTCCCCCTCACCAACACTCACCAACACTCTCCCTCACCAACCCTCACCAACACTCACCAACATTCCCCCTCACCAACACTTCCACTCACCAACACTCACCAGCACTCCCCCTCACCAACACTCCCCCTAACCAACACTCCCCCTCACCAACACTCCCCCTAACCAACACTCCCCCTCACCAACACTCCCCCTCACCAACACTCACCAACACTCCCCCTCACCAACACCCCCGTACCCCCCCCCCTCCTCGCCGTTCTTCGACCGTGAACTCCCCACGCTCACCCCCGACTCGGCGAGAGACTTTTGCGCTCCAGCGCACCGGTTCGTGCCGTACTAGTGACGAATTGGCCACGTTCTGTTCACGTCACAACCCTTACTAGTTGGCTGCGTCGGGTGGTGGCGGGTTTTAACGACGCATTTTAACACGTATATTTCCGCGATCTAACCCAAAACAACCTCTAGCACGTCCTCTTGTAAAATATCGCCTCCCAATCCCCACCCCGGACTCGCTATCCATCCCCCTCTGTTCCCTGCACGTCCCCACCCACCCTTGCCGCTCCACCCCGACTCCCCTGCACGCACAGAGGAGGCCGTGAACGAGGTGAAACGCCAGGCGCTGGCCGAGCTGCACCGCGCGGTCAGCGAGGCCGAGCGGCACGCGCGCGGCGCCGTGGCGAGCGAGCGCGCGCGCATGGAGCGCGCCCTCGCCGAGGCCAAGAGGCAGGCGGCGCGCGAGTCGCTCGCCTCGGCCGGCAGGCAGGACGACTCGAGCGAGGTGAGGAGGGGGAGGAGGAGGAGGGGGAGGGGGGGGGAGGGGGAGGAGGAGGAGGGGGAGGAGGAGGGGGAGGAGGAGGGGGAGGAGGGGGAGGGGGAGGAGGAGGGGGAGGAGTAGGGGGAGGAGGAGGAGAGGGAGGAGGAGGAGATCCCAACGTGGGATGGTTTAGGGGTTGTTAGCGCCGAGGCTTCGCGGTGTATTGCCTCTGCCGGCAGAGTCGCCCTTTGATGTATTTTTTTTTTTTTACAAAGGAGCACCTATCGGCTCAGTGGGATTTTTACTCGATGTGGGTGTTAAAGAGTGGGCGACTGGGGAGAGTGGGTGGGTGAGTGGGTGAGTCAGTGGGCGAGTGTGTGAGTAAGTCGACCCATCGTACCGGGGTCTGTCCCGTGACCTCCTGCCAGCGCGCGTTCGACACTTCACGTGGCCTTAAAGTGCACGTAGCCTGGCACAGATGCCGTGGCGTCGTCGTCACCACTTGGTGGCGAATGGCGGTTGTTGTTATTGTTGTTGTTATTGTTGTAATAAGAGTCGCCCAAGTCAAAGAGCTTCTTAGCTTTTTTGCTTTACTCGATGGGGAAAAAAACTCAATATAGTGGTCAACTGGGGAGAGTGGGTGTGTGAATGAGTAGGTGGCTGAGTGAGTGAGTGTGTGAGTAGGTGGCTGAGTGAGTAAGTGCGTGTGTGAGTGAGTAGGTGGCTGAGTGAGTGAGTGTGTGAGTGAGTAGGTGGCTGAGTGAGTGCGTGTGTGAGTGAGTAGGCGGCTGAGTGAGTGAGTGCGTGTGTGAGTGAGTAGGTGGCTGAGTGAGTGAGTGCGTGTGTGAGTGAGTAGGTGGCTGAGTGAGTGCGTGTGTGAGTGAGTAGGTGGCTGAGTGAGTGAGTGCGTGTGTGAGTGAGTAGGTGGCTAAGTGAGTGAGTACGCGTGTGAGTGAGTAGGTGGCTGAGTGAGTAAGTGCGTGTGTGAGGGAGTAGGTGGCTGAGTGAGTGAGTGCGTGTGTGAGTGAGTAGGTGGCTGAGTGAGTGAGTGCGTGTGTGAGTGAGTAGGTGGCTGAGTGAGTGAGTGCGTGTGTGAGTGAGTAGGTGGCTGAGTGAGTGAGTGCGTGTGTGAGTGAGTAGGTGGCTGAGTGAGTGAGTGCGTGTGTGAGTGAGTAGGTGGCTGAGTGAGTGAGTGCGTGTGTGAGTGAGTAGGTGGCTGAGTGAGTGAGTGCGTGTGTGATTGAGTAGGTGGCTGAGTGAGTGAGTGCGTGTGTGATTGAGTAGGTGGCTGAGTGAGTGAGTGCGTGTGTGAGTGAGTAGGTGGCTGAGTGAGTGAGTACGTGTGTGAGTGAATAGGTGGCTGAGTGAGTGAGTGCGTGTGTGAGTGAGTAGGTGGCTGAGTGAGTGAGTGCGTGTGTGAGTGAGTAGGTGGCTGAGTGAGTGAGTGCGTGTGTGAGTGAGTAGGTGGCTGGGTGAGTGAGTGCGTGTGTGAATGAGTAGGTGGCTGAGTGAGTGAGTGCGTGTGTGAGTAGGTGGCTGAGTGAGTGCGTGTGTGAGTGAGTAGGTGGCTGAGTGAGTGAGTGCGTGTGTGAGTGGGCCAGTGAGTGTTTTGAGTGTGGGGGGCGGTGGTGCAGCGGTTAGCGCACTGCGTAAGAATCCGGCGAACCGAGTTGGATTCCCGCGCACGGAGAACCCCAGTGACGATTATCTGAACCGGTCATGGGCCTCCCCCAGGTCAACTCAGCATAAAATGAGTACCCGTTGCGGTGTGTAGACATCGCCGCTGGGGATACAAAGGCGGCCGGTCGTGGTGCTGGCCACCCACTCCCTCGTGTGCCACAGTGCCGGCCTTCACAGGTGCTACCCGCTAACAGCACTTGCCCCTGCAGTCTGTGAAGGCTACCCGGGGGATCTTGGTGTGTGAGTGGATTGTGGAACGCTTTGATGTTGTCTGCCAACTAAGTCGCCCTTGAAAAACAGCTTCTTAGCTCAATGGGCTTTAGTCAATGGTGAAATAAACTTCAGATTCTGACTGTATATCTCATGCTGTATTATAAACAAGTTTTACTGGCTGACTGACTAGAGGGAGCGATGTAATGAAGAAATAACATGAATTCAATAGATTTGTCAATAAAAACACTTTGTGTGTGTGTGTGGCCTTCAACGAAAATAAATATAGGAGGCGACCTTTCATGTAGTGGGGCTTCTTCATATCGCATACGTATCAAAAAAGGTCATCGCCCGAAACGTCGCACAGCGAGGTTAACACGAGTAGGTGGGGGTCATGTCTCTGCATGTGTGTATACGTGTGTTGTTTATCGTATACATGCATGTGCGTGTTTGTGTGTGTCTATCATTGTGTCTGTGTGTATGTGTGTACGTGTGTGTCTATCATTATGTCTGTGTGTATATATGCATGTGTGTACGTGTGTGTCTATCATTGTGTCTGTGTGTATATATGTGTGTACGTGTGTGTCTATCATTGTGTCTGTGTGTGCATGTGTGTGTGTACGTGTGTGTCTATCATTGTGTCTGTGTGTGTATGTGTATGTACGTGTGTGTCTATCATTGTGTCTGTGTGTGTATGTGTGTGTACGTGTGTGTCTATCATTGTGTCTGTGTGTATGTGTGTGTACGTGTGTGTCTATCATTGTGTCTGTGTGTATGTGTGTACGTGTGTCTATCATTGTGTCTGTGTGTGTATATATGCATGTGTGTACGTGTGTGTCTATCATTGTGTCTGTGTGTATATATGCATGTGTGTACGTGTGTGTCTATCATTGTGTATGTGTGTATATATGTACGTGTGTACGTGTGTCTATCATTGTGTCTGTGTGTCTATATGCATGTGTGTACGTGTGTCTATCATTGTGTCCGTGTGTGTATGTGTTTACGTGTGTCTATCATTGTGTATGTGTGTGTATGTGTGTACGTGTGTGTCTATCATTGTGTCTGTGTGTATGTGTGTGTCTATCATTGTGTCTGTGTGTGTATGTGTGTGTCTATCATTGTGTCTGTGTGTATGTGTGTACGTGTGTGTCTATCATTGTGTCTGTGTGTGTATGTGTGTACGTGTGTGTTTATCATTGTGTCTGTGTGTATGTGTGTACGTATGTGTCTATCATTGTGTCTGTGTGTGTGTCTGCGTGTGTATGTGGGTGTGTAGGTCGACTCAGCCTCAAATGAGTACCTGGTGCGGTGGATAAAAACATTGCCACTGGGGAGACAAAGGCGGTCGGGCGTGGTGCTGGCCACCCACCCCCTCGTGTACCGTTCCGGCCTTCATAGGTGCTCGCTAACAGCACTTGCCCCTACAGTCTGTTAAGGCTATATGGGGGATCTTTGTATGTGGGTGTCACAAGAGCGGTGGCCCAGTGGTTGGCACATTGCGCAGCGAACCCGGCGACCCGAGTTCGATTCTCGTTCACGGTCAAGGTCGATCACGAATATCTGAACCAGTCTTGGGTCTCCCCTAGATCGATTGAGCCTCAAATAAGTACATCGTGTGGTGTGTAAAGATCAGCACAGGGGAGACAAAGGCAACCGGGCATGGTGCCGGCCACCCGCCCCTTTCGCGTGCCGTTCTCGGCACCTTTGATAGGCGCTACTCGCTAGCGGCACTTGCCCCAACCAGTCTGTTAAGGCTACACGGGGGATCTTTGTCTCTTTGTCCCCACGCCAGAGCTGCTGGAACTGTGGCCGCAAGGCGAGCGAGACGTGCAGCGGCTGCAACGCGGCGCGCTACTGCGGCTCCTTCTGCCAGCACCGCGACTGGGAGCGCCACCACCACGTGTGCGGGCAGGGCCAGGGGCAAGGCCAGGGGCAAGGCCAGGGGCAAGGCCAGTCTCAGGGCACGCAGCAGCAGCAGCAGCAACCTCAGCAGCAGCAGCAGCAGCAGCAGATGAAACCGGAGCCTCCGTCCCAAGCCGAGGGGTCCCCAGGCGCCGCGCCGGGACCCCCGGGGGGCCGCACAGCGAGGCCCCCCAATCCGCCGGCCGCCACCTCGGGGTTGGAGGAAGACGACGAGGAGGTGGCGTCGTCGTCGTCGCCGGCGGGTGACGCGGCCGAGCCCAACACCTCGCGCTAGCGTCGCCCCATCGGCCTCCGCCGGCGACGCTCCGACGCCGACCGTGTGACGATGAAGATCGGATCCAGCGGCGCGGGGTGGTTGGCACGGGGAGGGGGTGCGGGGGGGGGTGGGTGGCTGGGTGGTTGGGGCAGGGGGGGGGGGGGGTTAAATAGTTCACTCCTCTTCATCGTGGGCCTGAACCTAGGCCACCCACCCCACACCCCCCTCCCAACTCCGAGCCTGTCCAACGAGCCCCGGTGCAGTTGCACCGCCTGCACACTCGACGGCTACGAACGCTGGTCCCGGTCTGACCGACAGAATGCGCCACCTACCACCACCACCTCCACCTCCTCCTCCCCTCCCCCCTCCTCCTGGGAAGGGGATGGGGGGGGGGGCACCGATGCTTTAATGGTGAATGCCGCACCTCACGCGACCGTCGCGACCCTCGCTCTTGGAGGACCCGGGGCCCGCGTCGCCACGGGGTCAGGCTTCCACCTCGACCACCTCGACTCTACGTTGTTGTTGTTGTTGTTGTTTGTTTGTTACATCGGCGTCACGTGACGTCGACTCTGCCCACGTGCAGACGTCCTCGTCGGCTCCCCGTGCCGCGACTGAACGCGGCTGGAGCTGGACGACGCTTAGCGCGTGCGCGCCTCGGAGGGGATGGGCGAGCCGGGGGTGCTCACTGTGAGTGGAGCTGCGGTGGACGGAGTGGCGGGGGGGGCAGGGGGCTCAGGAACGCGGGGTCACGGGGTCACGGGGATATCTCGTGATCTTAACGCGGGGCGGGGGTGGGGTGGTTGACGATGAGTCACGTGAGCCGTTAAGGCAGCTGTGACATGTTTCCCTACACCTGGATCGTGTAAGTTAGACTCCGGGGCACATGATAGGCAGCTGTGTTGGGATCGGGCGGAAATGGCATAATTCACGCATACACACACACACACACGCTCACACACACTGACACGGTGTGCGCTCACACTAATTAACACACACCACCTCTCACACATTCACTACCGCTCTCTCTCTCTCACACTCTCCCACACACTATCTCACACTCTCTCACACTATCTCACACTCTCTCACACTCTTTCACACACTCTCTCTCACACTATCTCACACTCTCTCACAAACCCGATCGTGTCCCGGCCTCGCATCACAGCGCACACGGCAGGGACGCCCTGATCCGAACCTCTTAAGGTTCCTCTAAGGTCCCGTGTAAGGTTCCTCTGAGGTTCGGAACCAGTGCGCGAGGCCACGCAGGGAACACTGCGTTCGCAGTCCCCGCTCCCCGCAGCCGATGTCGCCAGTTCACCTCCGCTGGAGACGTCACCCTACGCAGCCTTACGTGACCTCGCCGAGATCTCAGCGTGACCTCGCCGAGATCTCAGCGTGACCTCGCCGAGATCTCAGCGTGACCTCGCCGAGATCTCAGCGTGACCTCGCCGAGATCTCAGCGTGACCTCGCCGAGATCTCAGCGTGACCTCGCCGAGATCTCACCGTGACCTCGCCGAGATCTCACCGTGACCTCGCCGAGATCTCACCGTGACCTCGCCGAGATCTCACCGTGACCTCGCCGAGATCTCACCGTGACCTCGCCGAGATCTCACCGTGACCTCGCCGAGATCTCACCGTGACCTCGCCGAGATCTTAGCGTGACCTCGCCGAGATCTCAGCGTGACCTCGCCGAGATCTCACCGTGACCTCGCCGAGATCTCAGCGTGACCTCGCCGAGATCTCACCGTGACCTCGCCGAGATCTCACCGTGACCTCGCCGAGATCTCACCGTGACCTCGCCGAGATCTCACCGTGACCTCGCCGAGATCTCACCGTGACCTCGCCGAGATCTCAGCGTGACCTCGCCGAGATCTCAGCGTGACCTCGCCGAGATCTCAGCGTGACCTCGCCGAGATCTCAGCGTGACCTCGCCGAGATCTCAGCGTGACCTCGCCGAGATCTCACCGTGACCTCGCGACCTAGAGGCCGGGAGAGAGCCCCCTGCCCCATCCCCCCCACAACCCCTCCCCCGTGGCCTGCCCCCACCCCTCCCCCAGGTCTCTGTATATCGGCAGCGGCCACGGGGTTTGGCCAAAGGAAGGCCCGAGTCCTTCATCTCCTCATCTTCCTGACCTCCTGCCGCCGGCTCGGGCGCACGACCTCTCGCCCGCGAGCAGCATCGGCCGCCGCCACCTCCTCCTCCTCATCCTCCTCGCTTTAAAGAATAAAAAAACAACTCCAGGCACTTCTCAGATGAACCCAGTTGGCTTTAACAGATGTATACACGGTAGACACACACAAAATGAACAAATCAAACAAAATAATAAATGTCGACGACAATTTTGACGCCGTCGATGACAGATGATCAAAGTGAGAACAGAAGAAGCGTGTACAGTATTTATTTTGAGTTCGCGCGCGACTCTGGCTTGTCGACCCTCTCCCAAAGACACTCGAAGACTCCTCATAAGACACCCAAAGGTTCTCTCTCGCCACCGCGTCTCACGCCACCGCGTCTCGCGCCCGCGTTCTCCTCGGAGCGGTGCACAGAGCGTGGCTCGCGGGTGGTGGTTGTGTTTAGTGGTGGTGGTGGTGGTCGTGGTGGAGCGCGCACAGCACAAAGATGGCAACTCACGCTGCCAAACAGCCACCCACCCCACCGACCGACCACTGAAATACTAAAAAAAAAACTTAAAAAATATATAAATGTGTGTGAGTATATACTTCAAAGAAACAAAAAAAAACATGAGAAATCAAAGCCACGTGCCCCGGGACCCTACGCCGCGGTTGGGAGGGTGGAGGGGTGTGTGCAGCGTGACTCTAGAATCTGGCTACACGGGGTAAATAGATCAATGATACAAGGATGACCTCAACAGCTGCGTGAGCGACGAGCATTGTGCGTTGGAGACGGGGAACAAAATCAGAGGCGGGATTCCTCTGGCGTCTCTTCTACTCAAAGCTACATTCAGGGAAACGGAGGAAGCGACGGCAGCTCATTCTGACGACCCGCCGAGGTCGTGAGCTCAAACTCCACCAGCGACCTCTTAGGAGCCCCTCAAGACCGAACTTGACTCTCCCCCACGACGCCGCCCCCCTCCTCCAGGACCCCTATGCGGTCCCGGAGAAGAAGACCGGGCGGTAGCGACTCGGCGGACTCAGCTGGGCACGGGGGAGGCAGGGGGCGGGAGAACGACGACTCCGTAAGGGACGCGGCTCTGCGACTCGCGAGGCGGGAGTTGCGTGCTCCCGCTGGATCTTCTTCTACTCTTCACATTCCTCCCCCTGCTCCTCCTCCTCCTGCTCCTCCTCGCGTCTTCTGCGATGTCTTCTTCTCCTCGTCAGCGATGGAAGCAGCAGCCGCGGCGTAATGCGGGGCGCGTGCGCGCGTGGCTCCACGCGGTGACTCTGACCTCGTGACCCCACCGTGACCTCTGCGAGATGTTGACCTCACGTGTACAGCCTCGCGGGGAGAGGGGGTTGGGACAGGAGGGATGGGAGGAGGGAGGATGAAGAGGAAGTTGGGGTTGGGTGGTTAGGGTTACTTTTGCAACTATCGGGATAAAGTGTTCCTCCCTCTTCAAACGCTCACCTCCGTTAGGCGACCCTGCGCCAGTGGTGGAAATTCCACATTACTTAGTCGGTGGCCAGTCCGGTTTGCGAAACGACCGCTATTGACTTCCCAAAAAGTGGTCCACGACTTATCGACCCAGGATGGAGGGGTGGTCGGTAGTCGGAATCTAACTCTGGTGAGGCAGAGTGGGAGTTGTGATCTCGCAATATTCTCATTGTTAAGTCGAGCGCTTTAGCCACTACGCGACCCGGCGGAATGGTGGTGCAGGTGGTTGACGCCTCGCACGGAGCGTGACACAGAATCGTCATGAACTTCGGCGGCCACGTGGGCCCAGCGGCCGGCGGACCGAGCCAGCATCGCTAGCAGTCTGGGTTTGAATCCGGAAAAGTGGAGCATCGCTGCATGTGCGCAATAACAGAGCTCGCTTGAAGGGATGTCACAGAAGTACTTCTGTGACATCCCTTCGGCGGACCGTTCAGTAATAGGTGGTGGAGCGCTGCTCGATGACAGTTCCGAATGAGAACCTCGTCTCGTGGCAACGCGATACCGATAGCACAATCGGTGAGAAATTAACGGAATCGGTTCAGTTGATTTCGGCTGAACACCACCCCGATATCACGCCTCCTCCTGCACCACTCTTCCTGCTTCTGCAGCCCTCCGCTAGCACCCCGGCTCCCCTCCTGCACCCCGGCTCCCCTCCTGCACCCCGGCTCCCCTCCTGCACCCCGGCTCCCCTCCTGCACCCCGGCTCCCCTCCTGCACGCCTCCTCCCCTCCTGCACGGCTCCTCCTCCCGCTCCCCTCCCGCACTGCTCACCCACTGCTTTGCAGTCGGCGGGGCGCCGCGCCACTGCCCCGCCGCCTCCCCACGTCCTCCCCCGGACCCTGGGGACCAACAGCGACTGCGGGGAGTTCGGAGAGGAGTCGCGCAAGCTCGGACCTCCGCAGGGTCCCGCCAAGGGGGTCGGGGTTGGAGGCTGCGGGGCACCTGATTGAGAGCCCCTCCCTGGCCACACGCGTTCACTCAGGGGCTCGCAGGATCGGTCCGCGCGATTGGTTCTTCCTCGCAGCACCCGAGTCTGGGTTTCGCGTTTCCGCCGCCAAAACCTCGTGGACTCGACGCGCGCGCCGCTCGCGCAGTGACTCGAGACCCCGCGGGGAGACCCCCGTGGGGAGTGGGGGGACCCCGTGTGGGGCACCCCGCTCGTTCCAGGCCCCGCAGAGAGACACTGGCGGGAGGGGCACCCACGGAAGAGTGCGAGTCGAGAGTCGCGAGGGCGGAGCTATGAGCGCAGCGACCGGGTTACGCGCGAGCGGCAAAAACTTTTTGGTGAATTCGTCCGGAGCGGTCGTAATTTACACGGTTATTTATTTATTTATTCGCGCATTTGTGGGTTTATTTATTTATGTATTTGCTAGGTGCGGAGTGTGGGGGGGGCGGGGGAGGCGAGGTCTGGACTCGCCCCCTTCACCACTTCCTCTGATTGTCGTCCCCTTTGCTGGAGGCGACCGCCGTGCGCCAAAGTGAGCGTCGCTCGCAGACCTGCA